GAAGTATATGGAAAAGAACGAATACAAAGTATATTGTGGCTGATGTTTATTTCTGAATAAGACATTAAAATGATATACTAAGCAGGTGATATGTTAATTTAAAGTGACTGATCTAGCAACACGTGATTTGCAATAAATGATTATAAACTTGAGAAACTGCTGAGTCTATTCAGAGTCACGTCCAATTATGTGTTTATGCTTTATATTTGTGTGTTACAGGTCAATGCTTTTGAGTATGCACACTAGTGTGTCGTGTTGTGCTGTTATCATTTGAGTATGCTCAATAGTGTGTCGTGTTGTGCTGTTATCATTTGAGTATGCTCAATAGTGTGTCGTGTTGTGCTGTTATCATTTTAGTATGCTCAATAGTGTGTCGTTTTATGTTGTTATCATTTCAGTATACACAATAGTGTGTCGTTTTATGCTGTTATCATTTGAGTATGCTCAATAGTGTGTCGTGTTGTGCTGTTATCATTTGAGTATGCTCAATAGTGTGTCGTGTTGTGCTGTAATCATTTGAGNGAATCCCCAAATATTGAAAGTCTTGTACTAGAAATAACTCATCAGACAGGAAAGATCTTATTTAGANGCAGTAAGTGACAACTTCAGATGAAAATGCTCTATATTCGAAGATATTTATAATCAATACACTGTTCACTCATGTGTCTATAAATAGAATCTCCATTGACTAGCTCGGCTACCTGTCCTTTGTCTACTTACCTGTACACTTCGCGTGTGTATCACCTGTATTCGCGTGCCTAGTTGCGCGATCGGTAACTGTGTTANATAATTTGTCACAATTAGTTAATAAAGCTACCCATTTTACCGAGAATTCATCACATATACTTGATCTCATTTTTGTTGATAAAGTCCACTTTGTGGCAAATGTAGATATAAAATCACCACTCTGAAATATTATGTTCCAAAGCCTCAGTCATATCAGAGAACCATATGGGACTACAAAACTGCTGATATCGATGGTTTGAACAATGCATTAAACACCGCCCATATTGATATATTCGTTGGTGTTTTTAATCTTTTAGACGATATCATTGATAATGTAAACAAGTTTATCTTAGATACGTGTAAAACTTTTATCATAAACAAAGTAGTCAATATTCTTTAGGACTAGAGATAGATACTACAAATTATTTCAAAGAACAGGTAAAGATTTCGATAAGTTCAGGTTCCAGGTAGCACGTAGGGAAGCAAATCGGGTAAAACGCGAAGCACTTAAACGCTGGCAAGAATCCACTATTACTAAACTATCTAACAAAAATACCAATCCTAAACTTTTCTGGTCAATTACTAAATCACTTCTAGGCAAAACTGGCGATCACACTATACCTCCTTTAATGGAAAACAATCACTATATACACGATGATACTGATAAGGCAGATCGATTTAACACGTATTTCTCTGATCAATGTACTATCCCGGATAACATTGAGAAACCAGTACTACCCCAAACTAATGTAAATAATAACTTACCTGTAATTAGTACCGTACAAACCACTCCAGAAGAGGTATGTAATATTTTTAAGTCGCTAAACACCAAAAAGGCAACAGGGCCAGATGGCATAGGAAATTTTATTCTTAAAAATTGCTGTCAATCATTATGTCATACTTGGGCACATATCTTTAATACTTCTCTCAGGTCAGGTATTTTTCCCACTTTGTGGAAAACAGCTCAAGTTTGTCCTATTCATAAAAAAGACAGCAAAAATGATGTTAAAAATTATCGGCCAATATCACTTCTTTCAAATATATCTAAATGTCTTGAAAAAATAGTATACAAACGTATTTATGAATTCTTTTTGGCAAATAACATTCTTATCAAAGAAAACTCTGGATTTAAAAGAAATGATTCTACCATTAATCAGCTGTTAAAAATAATCCACAGCATTTATAAATGTATAGATAATGGTGGGGATGTTTGTACAGTATTTTTAGATGTCTCAAAAGCTTTTGACAAGGTGTGGCACGAAGGTCTACTTCACAAATTAGAAAACATAGGTATTAGAGGTAGTTTGCTTTGTTGGCTTAAAAGTTATCTTTATAATAGAAAACAGTATGTAGTCTTAAACGGTCAATCTTCTGGTCATAAATATATTAACTCTGGTGTCCCCCAGGGCTCGATCCTTGGACCGCTCTTATTTTTAGTATATGTAAACGATATAAATGTAGGCATCTCATCTGACATTAACTTATTCGCTGACGACACATCTCTCTCATCAACCATAAATAGCAACGAATCGGTAAATACACTAAACGACGACTTAACTACTCTGTCTCAGTGGGCAAAGCGATGGCTTGTCACATTTAACGCACTAAAAACTGAATTTGTTATTTTCTCTAAAAAAAGATTTGTTAATAAACCGAACCTCCTGCTTAACAACATTCCGATTAAACATGTAATTAACCATAAACATCTGGGCATAATTCTATCGGGTAACCTCAGCTGGCATTCTCATATTTCAGAAATTGTAGCCAAAGCAAACAGAATACTAAATATCTTACAAGCATTAGCTTATATTATCCCACGTTCTTGTCTTGAAACACTATATAAAACTATGGTAAGATCGGTTATGGAATACGGCAATATTTTATTTGATAACTGCAGTCAGCAAGAGTCTGACCTTATTGAAAGTGTTCAGCGTAGGGCGGCATTAATATGCACAGGCGGTTATAATGTTACCAAATATACTAAACTGCTGGGTGAATTGGGATGGGAAAAACTAAGTGAGAGACGAAAAAATTGTCAGCAATATATATATGTTCGACAATTATGTACAAACAATAGATATATGATACATGTTGGTCACTCCCAACATGAATTTCTCTCAAGGAATTCAAAAAGCCATATTTGAATTATGTGAACTCTTTTTTTGTTTTTTCACATCACTACAACTAATACATGTAACAACTCGGGTTCATGTATCTCTTGTATAACTTGGTGAGAACACATGTGTATATTTATCATTTCTATGCTAACGTTGTTGTAGTTGCAATGGTCCTGTTTATATCTATTGCAGTATCAGGCTTCTGAAGATACTGGTACAGTGTATAACCCTTATGGAGTCATGTTTTAGGTTCAAAATATGTTCACAATATAATGCTTTTCTTACATTAAAATGTAAATGATTAAATTGTTTTATCATTTGGTTATTCAAAAGGAATGGATATTGCAGCCGTTGTTTCTTTAATATTTGAATACATTGTATTGAGAAATTGAATGCTGGATCAGAGTTACAGATTGGGTACCATAATTACTTAATACTGATTTAGAATCATCTTCGAGCTAATTTTATTGCCTTCGCATGTCACCTACAGACCAGATAAAGCTTGTAAATGAAGGATGCAGTAAGATCATCAGTTCTTTGTTGTTTGTCTGTCTGTTCTTAGAAATGATCATGCATTTTGTAGGTCATAAAAAGATAAATATGCGTACTTATTATAATTGTGATTGCTCCCAGGGTCCTTTTATCCCAGCATGGTGACCGTTTATCATTGAAGTGGTTGAAATCAGTGTCCTATAATGAAAAACACCTACTGGCAATCCGGAGGCACGGTAGTCTAGCGGTAGGTCGCTGGGCTCGTAAACCGAAGGGTTACTGGTTCAAGTCACGGCACCACACTGTGTTGTATCTTTGAGCAAGATACTTTACTCCTCTTGTTCCAGTCTACTCAGCTGTAAATGAGTATGTGGTTGGGCATTGCTAGAATTATAGAATGCTAGCTGTGAGCGCCGGAATGGCAGCACAAGCTGTATGCTCCCCAGGGAGTTGATCCATGAGAAAGATGTTGACTAAGGCCCTAAAACCACGGATACAGGGTTCGATACTAACACTAGTCTGCTAGTCCTGGTCTAGTAGATTTCAGCAAGGACTAGTAAATCACCTAATTACCTAACTGGTCCTTTGGACTTGTGAAAAATATAATTATAATATGCGAATACTCCTTTTTTAAAATTTAGAAAACTGCTTAAAATAATATTGCATGATTATTCTCAAAATATTACTCAAACTTTACCATATTTGTGTGGCAGTACTGTATTTACCAGGAAATCTGCGACAGGTTACATTGACGAAGGACTAGTAAATAATCTTTTTAACTAGTCATGTGAACTACCATGCAAAAAAAGTAAGTGTCTAACCCTGGGAAAATTATTTGTGAACCGCTTTGAGACGACCTAGGAACTAGGTTGTGATGGAGCGGTATATACATTTGTAAGATTATTATTATAGACAACTACCAAAGTTTCTCCAGGTCTGTTACCACCCAGGAATACATTCATGCTAGCCCCTCCAAGGGGTCATACAGGTCTAAGATATACAACATAGTAATAAGTGAACTATAGGTTACAGGTTGATTTTGAAAAAAAATACAAGCCAACTTATGTTTCATAGTAAACATCAACATTTTTTTAAGAGTTCGTGGCGTTGGGCTTGGCAATTGAGGCAAATATGTAGATCTTTCATGAACTGAAAAAAAATGGACATTGTTTATATGATTTTATTTTCAGGTCACTGAACTATGTGCGTTCGCTTATAGTCAATGCCTATTTCATCATAAATGTATTTATATACGCTTTTACCGACACATATAGCCTATGGTGTAACGGATGATTTATATGATATACGTACGGTTCGCTAAGCAAGTTGATACATTGACATGTCAGTGTGCAAGGAAATCATATCAAACCATTTCACTGTATTTTTACCTCGTGATTCGTTAGATTTAAACTTAAGTTGTCATCTTTCGCTTTGTAAGATACATGTTGACGGAAATATAACTTACAGGAGAATAGTCCTGTCATTTGCCGTCTGCTGCTTCGTTTGCGGTTTACGTCGTCTCCTATTATCGTTTGTATTTTTTGTCGTTTGCCTTTATCGTTTGTGATTCATGACGTCTGCTATCACCATTGGTGGTTTTTATCGTCTGTTATTGTCGTTTGTAAATATGTAACTTCTATTAGGTAAAAACAAATTAAGAAGCAATTTTGTTCAACTAATTTTTATTAACAATGAAATCGCTTAACATGTTTCTTGGTAAAGCAGACTTTCGCCAACTCTGACAAACAGCGGGTCATAAAGAGCGGAGGAGAGACTGATAGTACCAGAAGTGTTACTAATGTGCGACTGCAGGACAACATCTAACATCTAACACACAACCTCAACCAAAACGTCTGCTCTCAACTTGAATCTAGAATTAAAATTAGCATTACTTCAAAACAGATATCTTTTTTTTATATTTATTTTTCAATTTTGCATTTCAAGCACAAGGGCCCTGATATACAATAAGAGTCTACAATAGAAAGTTTAAATCCCCATTTGAGTCCCATATTTTTTTTTTCCTTCCATATTTTACATTTAGGTCTCAGAAGACCCTTAGTGCAAACGGTTTAACGATCAAAACTAAATCAGACGCAACAACGAATGATGCTTACTGGTGATATGGAAAAGATGTTATTTGGTTTTAACCCTGGTACGTAGCGGGGTAGCTGCTGCCTCCAGCATAGGGGTAGCCGCCTGTGCTGTAGGTGCTGGGGTAGCCGCCTGTGCTGTAAGTGGAAGGGTAGCCGCCTGTGCTGTAGGTGCTGGGATATCCCCCGGTTACGTAAGATACACCGCCGCTGGGGTAGTAACTGCCACCACCCATGTAAGACCCGCCGCCTCCACCAATGTAGGACCCGCCGCCTCCACCAATGTAGGACCCGCCGCCGCTTAGGTAACTTCCACCACCACCGCCGATGTAGCTGGGTCCGCTAGTGACGTATGTGGAACCACCGCCAAGGTAGGATCCGCCACCCATGTAAGATCCGCCACCCATGTAGGAGTTGTCGTAGTAGGCTCCTCCAGAGGCGGGGTAGCTATAGCTGTAGGTAGACGGGTAGCCCATTTGGTGGTAGCCGCCGCCGTGGCCACCCATGTGCCAACCCTTACCTCCCTTGTAGCAGGGTTTGCCTGGAAAATGAGGAAAACTTTATATGTCTATCTAAAACGGAATGGGAAGAGATATTCTGTTTACCAAGGAGCGTGATTGGCCCTTAAGTGTTCAGTGACTGCTGTTTTGTATAAATCTGGCATTATTTTGCGAAATCCTTCATATTAGAACATTGTTTTCTCCCACGCAGTTCGACAAGTCCTCCTTTCAACCCAAAGGATCTAGGAAAATCTTCAATTCTGATGCAAATAACGCTAAGTAAAGAACAGGAAATCGTTGAAAATAATGAAAATAATGGAATAATGGAATGATGCAATCATAATTATATTAAAGTAATAGACTAATGGCATAGAACCCTTGAACCATTCAGTTACCCATATCAGCCGATTGTCGATGAAAATGTCATTATTTTACAATAGTATCATCTGAAATTACAGCTGCAGTTTAATTCTGGTCAATCAGCTCGTCAGTTTGCACACCATTTACTGATACTACAAATTAAAAATGATTTTGGTTTATTGTTCACAGAGTTCTATATTGCTACTTATGAAATTGTCATCATTTCATAAAACACTGCATTCCAGCAAGTTAATTGTCCCTAAAAGATGGGGGAAATTAGAGAAAGCGCCGGTATTGAACAACGTGATCTATACAACGCTTTGTAGGAACTCTTTGTTCGTATATTGCTAGCACGTGGTTTTACATAATGTACTTGGTCACTTACCCTTAAACATTGGCCTAGGCGGGCGATAACCGCCGGGTTAGAATTGGTAACTTACCCTTAAACAGGGGCCAAGGCTGGCAAATACCGCCGGGTTAAAATTTCGTAACTAACCCTTAAACATTGGCCTAGGCGGATGATAAACGCCGGGTTGACATTGGTAACTTATCCTTAAACATAGGCCTAGGCGGGAAATAAGCGCCCGGTTAAAATTGGTAACTTATCCCTAAACATGGGCCTAGGCGGCCAATAACCGCCGGGTAAGAGTTGGTAACTTATCCCTAAACATGGGCCTAGCCGGGCGATAACCGCCGGGTTAGAATTGGTAGCTTACCCTTAAACATGGGCCTAGCCGGGCGATAACCGCCGGGTTAGAATTGGTAGCTTACCCTTAAACATGGGCCTAGCCGGGCGATAACCGCCGGGTTAGAATTGGTAACTTACCCTTAAACATTGGCCTAGCCGGGCGATAACCGCCGGGTTAAAACTGGTAACTTACCCTTAATCATGGGCCTAGGCGGGCGATAACCGCCGGCCTCTGCCAGGGCCATCACTACTACCAACACAGCTATACACAACACGGCTTTCATGGTGGATATTCTGTAGAAAAAAATGAAAATTGTGAAATCAGATATTTAAGTTGGGGTCCAAATTTCGTGGTTTTCCAACAGACCACCATTTCGCGGACCTATGATTTTGTGGATGAAGGTTACCAACGAAATCAACGAAATTAAAAATAATACCATGACAATTAGTGACTTCAAAGTAGCGCAATTTCCATTTTATATTACTTTTTTCATTTTGAAATATAAATAAAGAAAAAGTCAAATATCAAACAGAAGATATCAAACATCTTGTTATTTCGATAAACGATGTCCTTCTATACAGAAAATTACAAAACGAGATGGGAAATCAAGGCTTTCATATTTGATGAATCAGTGTGGTACTTCTTTATGTAATTGATGGCAAAACTACGATTGTAATAATGTTAAGCATGTTCGATTTCTGAGTATGTCAATTATAGTATTCATGAAATATTGAATTCTACAATTTCTAAATGTTTGATTGATAATAGCGTTACTGAAATAATAATTTAAAAAATAATACAACCTCCGAGTTTGTCAATAATAGAAATATTAAACATGTACGTAAACCATGGTCATTTAGGGAAGCAAATCCTTTTCAGTTAGTATGAAATCACTACATATTTATAAATAGAACGTTAACAAGGAATACACTTGAATTAATTAATCAGTATAAATAAAATATAAATGATAATGAACGATAAATCTATTTCTCCTCCAAGAGATGAACCAATGGCTTATAATTATTTTCTCCCAAGACAAATATATATGTGATTTATGTTTTTACTTTGAACTTCAATAGAAAGTTGTCATAGAAGTAAAAGTAAATAATAAATCTGATAATGGTAAGATTTCAAAATGAAATATCGACTCTAAGAAAATTCGGAAACTTACAAATAACTTATTGAATACGTTAAACGCTACCTAAGAAAATTCGGAAACTTACAAATAACTTTGAATTGAATACGTTAAGCGCTACCTTACCTTTCGACGGGTGATGTCTGTGGATGAGGAGGGTATACCTGGTTGTCGTCAGCACCCCCTTATATATAACCCAGTTACTACAGTCCGGCCACCAATACACAGTGATTGATCGTGAATTACCGACCTATGTCCTCATACACTCACTTAAATTGTCAAAACATCGCATCGCTCCCGGCTTTCTGCGCACGGTCAACGGGTCAGCAAACGTAAAGATTGACGCATCCACTTCCGGGTTTCCTGGTTCAGGCACAATCGCTTAGATAATAGTTTGTTTTGGCACCATTAGTGATATATGACGTATACTTTGCTAACTACAGCTACCCTCAGAAATGACTGACAAGTATACCTCCACAATGTGATTGAATGAGACTAATGCATTAGTATAACACAGGATCGGGTACATCAGTGTTTGGGATTGCATTAACAGTTTCGTTTAGCATATTCTTCGTTCGGTTTGTTATTTCAGTTGATATATACACTGTATCAATGTAACAACAATAACTGATGGCGCTGTGGTACATGCCTTCTATATGAAATTTGGATATATCCTGGTTGAAACTGTGTTCTTTTCAGGCAGATTAAAAATGGCAAGTGTTCGGTACTGTCCGCATACCATTATTTCACTGTTAAACCATCTGGGTTGTAATCATAATAACTGCGTGAATTGTAATTAACTAATTTTGCTTGTCTATGAAATTATGATAAAAATAACAACAGGAGTTTACCGAAGTGTCATCAAAGTACTTAATGCTGGGGCAAAAATTGAACAAATCATTTACAGGAAGAACCGGGTTATTGTCAACAAAACAACAAAGTACGACAATTAGCATAATCAGAAACCTCGACCTGCACATCACACAAGGACCTAGAACATTTCTTAGTGAGATCATGTTGGCGGCCTTAAAAATTGCCAATGTTCTTTTTTGTAAGTTTGTCCGTCAGATGTAGACAGTGTGATGATGAGATTTTGAGCATGCTCTTGAGCACCGAATTAACTGCGGCAAGTAAAAAACACAATTGTATTCGGAAACATTGATGTAATGTTCAAGAGCTGGAAAGTTCACGATCAGAAAATCATAATCGTCGCACTTAGAACATCGTACAGCTTAGTAGTAAGCCGTCCAAGTCGATCATGCTACATTAAAGATCGAGGAACATAGTTGATATTAACTTCAGGAAGATATATAAGATGGACACATTCAATACATTTTTTGCTATTCAAAGACTGGCATATCGTCGATACGTCCGAGGGTGAAAATTAAGTAAAAACGTATACAGCAAGGTGTTTGTTACCAGTCCTGATAAACCATTTTAGTTGGTTATAATCAAAACTTTGTACTTGCCTATGTTGTGTACAGTTGGTTTGTACTTGCCAATGTTGTAGCTAAGCATTGTACAGTTGGTTTGTACTTGCCAAGGTTGTCATTTAAGCATTGTACAGTTGGGTTGTACTTGCCAAGGTTGTAGCTAAGCATTGTACAGTTGGATTGTACTTGCCAAGGTTGTAATTTAAGCATTGCACAGTTGGGTTGTACTTGCCAAGGTTGTAATTTAAGCATTGTACTGTTGGTTTGTACTTGCCAATGTTGTAGCTAAGCATTGTACAGTTGGTTTGTACTTGCCAAGGTTGTCATTTAAGCATTGTACAGTTGGGTTGTACTTGCCAAGGTTGTAGCTAAGCATTGTACAGTTGGGTTGTACTTGCCAAGGTTGTAATTTAAGCATTGCACAGTTGGTTTGTACTTGTCAAGGTTGTAATTTAAGCATTGTACTGTTGGTTTGTACTTGCCAAGGTTGTAACTAAGCATTATACAGTTGGGCTGTTCTTGCCAAGGTTGTAGCTAAGCATTGTACAGTTGGTTTGTATTTGCCAAGACTGTAATTTAATCATTGTACAATTGGTTTGTATTTTCCAAGGTTGCAGCTAAGCATTGAACAGTTGGTTTGTATTTACCAAGGTTGTTATTTAAGCATTGCACAGTTGGTTTGTACTTGACAAGGTTGTAGCTTAGCATTGTACAGTTGGTTTGTACTTGCCAAGGTTGTAGCTTAGCATTGTACAGTTGGTTTGTACTTGACAAGGTTGTAGCTAAGCATTGTACAGTTGGTTTGTACTTGCCAAGGCTGTAGCTAAGCATTGTACAGTTGGTTTGTACTTGCCAAGGTTGTAGCTAAGCATTGTACAGTTGGTTTGTACTTGCCAATGTTGGAGCTAAGCATTGTACAGTTGGGCTGTACTTGCCAAGGTTGTAGCTTAGCATTGTACAGTTGGTTTGTACTCGACAAGGTTGTAGCTAAGCATTGTACAGTTGGTTTTTACTTGCCAAGGTTGTAGCTAAGCATTGTACAGTTGGTTTGAACTTGCCAAGGTTGTAGCTAAGCATTGCACAGTTGGTTTGTACATTCTTGTACTTGCCAATGTTGTAGCTAAGCATTGTACAGTTGGGCTGTACTTGCCAATGTTGTAACTAAGCATTATACAGTTGGTTTGTACTTGCCAAGATTGTAATTTAAGCATTGTACAGTTGGTTTGTACTTGCCAAGGTTGTAGTAAAGCATTGTACAATTGCTTTGTACTTGCCAAGATTGTAATTTAAGCATTGTACAGTTGGGTTGTACTTGCCAAGATTATAATTTAAGCATTGTACAGTAAGTTTGTACTTTCCAAGATTGTAATTTAAGCATTGTACAGTAAGTTTGTACTTGCCAAGATTGTAATTTAAGCATTGTACAGTTGCTTTGTACTTGCCAAGGTTGTAGCTAGGCATTGTACAGTTGCTTTGTACTTGCCAAGGTTGTAGCTAAGCATTGTACAGTTAGTTTCATTAAATATTTCGCCGCACTTTTCCTATCATATCTTTAATGTTTTTCTACATTTTCCGTAAAACTATTTTGAAGTCTATTACAATGCAATGGATACAACCTTTACTGTACACATAAGAAAGTTTTCTTTATGTTCTCATTTCATAAAATAAATTTTCAATTTTTGTTAAGCAAAGTGAAATATTGGCACGGCATATACATGAAATGCACACATATATATATATTTATTCATTCTGAATTAGTCATACTATCTTGATAATCAGGTAAAGGATTTATCTGATAATTTTGAGAGATTAAAAATTATGTCAAGTTTCGTGTAAATGGCACCATAAAAAAAACTTCAGCAAGATTCAGTGAAACAATGTAAACAAATGCATGAGACATGAAGTAACCTTCAGTCCGTAATGGGTGGTCTTATTGTACTTAGTGGGGTTGTTATTCAATCATTGTACTTGTCTGATCTTCAAAACGATGGAATAGAGACCTATTACCTGACTTAAACATGTAACATGGCTATATAAAGTTATGGAAAATGACTCTGTATCTAAGGTCAGCGGTGATGTTACATGATAGTTTCCCCTCGATAGCGAAGGTCAGTTTTCTGTCCACCTGCGGGGTAGCTAGTCTTATAATATATTACAACATGGCCACATATAACACTTGGCTCCACCTGGCGTTGTACTTGTACAGGTGAGTATGTTAGTTATATATCGTATATGGTACGTGATTAGGTATTACAAACACTTATGTGAATGGCTTCCTCTCAGTTCATTCCTTTCGCGTACTACGTGCATTACTTAGTATTTGAAGTTGCAAACAGCACAGATGAAGAAAAGTCAAAATAAAGCATTCATCATTATCATATGAGATTATATATAAACACAACGACTAGGTGACACTTCAGTTAATATAGCTGACAGAACATAAGACAGGGCAATGATGTTTGATTTTACAAAAAGGTGATGAAATCGGATAACAAAATTAATAAATAGTACTATATTAATGATACATGTTCCACCCTTAATAATAATCAAACCCCTTCCAATGGTGATAATAAATGAACGTCATCTATATGTTTCAATAATATTCTAACGCCATAAATTTGATTATATAATATCAAGACCCGTCTAAATGATTAATAAAATAACGGTTCTAATTGGTTTTGATAGTAGACAAACGCCTTTATATCGGCGTGAATGATAAATTTACGGCTTTTTATTGGTTTTGATAATAAAAAATTAACCGTCTTTTCTTTACTTTACTAGTTACTAGCGCCTCCATTGTAAATAAACTAAACCTGATATTGCTATTGCTTATGAATAACGCTATCTATTTGGTTAACACATTCTTTTCGCTTATTTTTAAATGAATGCTTGCTGTTGGTTTTATTTTAAAGACAAAGCGCCTTCTGTTTGTTTTGATAAATCAACTTCTTGCGATCATTCATGATATATATTTAGCTTTAGACGATGGTAAGGAAATACGTATGGTCTTTTGTGATATTAGTAAAGCTTTTGATCGTGTTTGGCATAAAGGCCTTCTTTGTAAATTATCCAGCTATGGGATTCGAAATTCGCTATTAGTTTGGTTTGAAAATTATCTTTCCAATCGAAAGCAGAGAGTTGTCATCAATGGTAAAAATTCAAATTGGTTAAATGTTAAGGCTGGTGTTCCACAGGGCTCAATTCTTGGACCTCTTTTATTTCTGATATATATAAATGATATTGTTAAAGATATACAAGCTAAAATAAAGTTATTCGCTGATGACACCTCTCTTTACGTCACTGTTGATATTCCTAGAGTCAGCGCAGACATTCTTAATAGTGACCTTAATACAATTCATAACTGGTCGCAAAGATGGTTAGTAAATTTTAACCCTTCCAAAACAGAAACCCTGCTCATTGATAGAAAAAAACATTAAACCTTTTCATCCTCCCTTAAATATGAACAATACTAACATCTCTGAAGTTACTACACACAATCATTTAGGTATTTTTCTCTCTGGAAATGGTCACTGGAATGAACACATCAGTTATTTGATATCTAAAGATTTCACCTAAAATAAATATCTCGCGTAAATTTAAATTCTATTTGGACAGGTATAGTCTCCAAACTATGTACTACACTCTCAGTCGACCTATATTAGACTATGGCGATATCTTATGGGACTGCCTTACTAAAGCTCAATCTGAGTTATTACAAAATCTTCAATTAGAAGCAGCACGCATAGTCACTGTCGGCACTAGACTCACAAGTTGAATTAAACTGTATACTGAAACAGGTTGGCTTCCCCTCAAGGAAAGACGTAAACAGCACAAGCTTCTTCTTTTCCACAAAATGGTTCATGGCCTGGCTCCTCAATATCTTCTTAATATTCTACCTCAGCGTAACCGAAATTACCACAACCATGATATTTGCACAGGTAATAATTTTCGTCCACTAGTTTGTCATACGAGTCTCTATTATACATCTTTTTCGCCATCTGTCATTAGTATCTGGAACTCCTTGCCTGAGTATGTCAAAAACGACCCTTCGGTTTATAAACTTAAAACCTATCTAGGCAAGCCCGCTCACAAAATTCAATTTTTCTACTTTAATGGTACCAGACTGAGGCACAGTTAGATTAAGAATGGAATGTAGTTTCCTTAAGTTTTATCTGTACCAGAGAAATTTAATTGATAGTCCTCTGTGTTCTTGCATGCAAGCAAATGAAACCAATGAACATTATCTATTACATTGTTGTCTTTTTTCTCAACTACGTTTACATACATTTAACGAAATCAATCATCCACTCTCAACTGATTTACTTTTGTTCGGGAATGATGAGCTTACAGATGATGAAAATGCTTTAATTTTTTCATCTGTACAAAACTTCATTATCCAATCTAAAAGATTTGACTAAGTTCTATTCATTATACACCGATCCTTTGTTTCACATCACCTATTTCCTCTCCTTCTTTTCTTATTGGCAAGCGCCTTCTGTTTGTTTTGATAAAACAATAATGACCTTTTTTTGGTTTAAACAATTAATATTTTTCTGTTGGTTTTATTAATAAATGTACGTCTTCGTTTGGTTTTATTAATAAATTTACGTCTTCTGATGTTTTTATTAATAAATGTATATCTTCTGATGGTTTTAATAACAAATGTACGTCTTCTTTTGGTTTTATTAATAAATGAACGTCTTCTTTTGGTTTTGATAACAAATGTACGTTTCTGTTGGTTTTAATAATGAATGTACGTCTTATGTTGATTTTATTTATCAATGTACGTCTTCTTTTGGTTTTATTAATAAATGTACGTTTTCTGATTATTTTAAAAACAAATGTACGTTTTTGTTGGTTTTAATAATTAATGTACGTCTTCTGATGGTTTTAGTGATGAATGTACATCTTCTGATGGTTTTAATAACAAATGTACGTCCTCTGTTGATTTTAATAATGAATTTAACCCCTCTGTTTGATTCAATACATGTAATAAGCTAACGCTTTCTATTGGTTAATGACTAAACGCCTTATTTGGTTTTGATGATAAATCACTGCCTTTTGTTGGTGTAAAGAATTAATTAAAGTCTTCTATTAGATAAGGTTTTTTTCTTTTGTTTTTGCATTGATGTAATTACAAAATAGTTTCTTAATAGTTTTTCATGTAAAAAATGTAAATCAAAGTAAAGTGGTAATATAAATGTCGTTCCTCGGAATGGTCACATTGGTCAGTTGATAAATAGCAGAAAATGTACCTGGTACCTAATTTATCCGGATCTATAATACCCCGGTCACTTACCTGACAAACACGTCACTATCTATATGTACGACCGACTCATTCCATGATGAACCGTAAACACCCAGACACGAATTGGTGAATGATTAATCACGTTAGACTTCCCAAATAGAAACCTTATACGACGTATTTGATGAAGTCAATAACTAAATTATCAGGCCGAGATTTGATTTGAATCATGATCTAATTAAGGTTCAGTGCATGCTCACCGCCTTGATGTTTTAATAAGGAGTTGAGTTCTTTGAGTTTGTGACTCTTTAACCTCGAGTTTAGGCTGATTTGATGTTACATAGCTTGTTTCTATTAAATCCAGTCTCAGTATGTTAACCTATTTTCTGTTTTAATATGCACACTTACACAGAGTAGTTAAATGACGAATTCTAGAAGAATTGTGGTATGTTAAGGCATTTCTATCGCACGTTTCTTGTTGCCACGCATTACAAATGGCCACCAAGCACCGTCACGGTCGTGAACATTACAGATTCAGCTGAGCGACAGTAAGTGACGGCGTTTAATTCAATGAGTAGGACATACTGCATTGTGCAGCGTCACTCCCATCCCGACAATAGCGAAGGTACTGAGGCCACATGGTGTAGTTCATGAGTTCTTGTCATTGAAGGAGTATCAGAATTTATCAAATTGCTATGCCGTTCACTGTCAGAGTATACAATTGAATTGACACTTTTCGGTAAGTAAATCCAATTAATAGCATAATTAGATAACAGTTGACAGTTGTTCGACTAGATGTTAGCTTTAAACAGATTTTTATCTATGGCCCGAAATATGTTCAAGTCATTCTGGTACTCATCAGGCGCGCATCCACATCATTTAAAAAAACGATGACCTAGTTATTTTCATAATCTATGTTTATTGAGGCTATAAAAGTAGCAAATGATGAAGACATGGCAGGACTTATACAGTTATTAGATGGAGAGGTCCAACGTTCTGTAGGAAGAGGTCGGTCAATATACCAGTGGAGGAATCCGAGATGGATACTGAAGTTATTCTCGTAGAGCTCCACAGAAGGGGAGTAAATACAATACAAGCAGGTAAGAGATGGAAGTCCACTGTATTGGTTAACCTGGGCCAACTGTCGACAGAACAACTTCACAGTTTCAGAGCTAAGGTGCAAATTATGGTTCTAAATATCAACTCATTGTAATTGTGAAGTAATCCTGTGCTATGCCATGTAGATACCCGGGATATATGGAATGTTAAACTCTGTTTAAAAGTAGGAAAGCCATGCTAGCATTGTAATTGTGAAGTAATCATGTGCTATGCCATGTAGATACCCGGGATATATGGAATGTTAAACTCTGTTTAAAAATAGGAAAGCCATCATAGCATTGTTATTGTTCAATGTCATTTCCATTCCAGTAACGCATGCACCACTCGCTTTGAACAATTATCTCAATTTAAATTTTCCGGCGATTTAACCATTACTATGACGTTATATTGCGAATCATGAGTTGCACCTCAGCTCTGACCATGATCCTGTGAAGTTGTTCTGGTGACAGTTGGTCCATGTAAACCAATAAAACTCACCTTTCACGGAATCAGTCATGTTTGATATCTTTCAAATAATGAAAAATTGAGATAACAAGTGGTGAACTATTTATTAAGACCGTATCGAGTAACTAAGTGACGAGTTTCACACACCTATAAACCATGGCCTTATTGCTCTATAATCTAATTAAAATTAGGCTTGTAATCCCGTTCCTCTACGATCCTCCGGGACGGATCAAAGGGGAGGTAACTCAAACATAGCATTTAGATTCTTTCATCGTGTACGAGAGACGATACCATGATGGTCTGTTACAGGGTTACAAGTTGGTCACATATATTTCAGGGATGTGATTAAGTTCTAACTTATCTTCGTATTGTTTAATTAGGGGTAATTCAACCAGAATGAGATTATCCAGTATTTGTATACTTGAACATCTTAAGCTAAATGTTAAATTCACGTTGTGTTGATGATGGCCATAGTTTACCTCAGTATTTATATATTCCATTTTCAGTTCAATGAGGNCAATGTTCTACTAGATCTTCATCACTTTCATTAAGTCAATGTTCTACTAGATCTTCATCACTTTCATTAAGTCAATGTTCTACTAGATCTTCATCACTTTCATTAAGTCAATGTTCTACTAGATCTTCATCACTTTCATTAAGTCAATGTTCTACTAGATCTTCATCACTTTCATTAAGTCAATGTTCTACTAGATCTTCATCACTTTCATTAAGTCAATGTTCTACTAGATCTTCATCACTTTCATTAAGTCAATGTTCTACTAGATATTCATCACTTTCATTAAGTCAATGTTCTACTAGATCTTCATCACTTTTATTCAGTCAATGTTCTACTAGATCTTCATCACTTTCATTTAGTCAATGTTCTACTAGATCTTCATCACTTTCATTAAGTCCATGTTTTACTCAGAAGTGAACTCAACCGTATCTACACTGGTTACATAGCAGACAGTCATAGCAGAAAATTACACATAATTCATATCAATTTATCATTGACTTTGTAAGCCACTTTGATGTTTTACCGGTCTGGTTTAAGATTAAGATTGTAGGTCTAACAAACTTTACATGTCAGAGACGACACTCTCTCCTATATATCCAGGTACATGATGCGCTGTATAAGATCACCTGTCTACACACAGATCACGACTCGGTGTAGAAAGTTGGATCAGTGTGCTTTTTTTAAATCAGGTTAGAAAGATAACCCTCCTAATTTCTAAGGTGGAAAACAGAAAGAAAAAAAACATTTTTCATGACAACCTACACTATCTATTTGTAGTTAAAAAAAAAAGCATCCAGTAGTTTAAGTTTGTTCTGTATGGTAAGAGTCAGTATCAAAAAGCTTGTGAGTGAATGCTTTCCTTTTTGTGCATTTATACAAAGACTCTGTTTCTTTATTGCTCACTGCCAAACGATTCATCTGGTGTCGTGAGTGACAATTAACAATTAAAGATGACAAATATAAACATTGTTCTTTACGTCAAATGATTCGATACCGATATGATTGCTCAATATATCATCTTTACATAGTGTCGATGGGTAGGCTAAGAAAAAATATCAAGAAGATCATCAACAACTTATTGGATTATCTTGCAATCCAATTGATTTGAATCACAACATGAGTGGTGCATGTTGCTGTATAACATGGATTAATATGACTCAAATCGTTAAGATGATGCCGATAACAGAGCCAGACGAATGTTGGTATCGATAGGGATGGTTGTTGGAATTCAGGCGGATTGTTGTATGCAGTAGCTGGACGGCTGTATCTTTTTAGACGTTTATATGGAGATCGGTGGTTGTTTCATGGTAGACATTTGTATTCAGATGAAATTTATGTCAAATATGTCGGTATGCGAAAAGAAATCATTATATCAACCATGGTGACTTACAGTAAATCTTTTATTACAAGATATCAATAGTATCACATATCAAAGCGGAACTATGCCAACTAGATAGTGATGACATTGCTGATTGTGCTAATGAGTGATACATATCTGTTTTGACTCTAAGGATGATAACATTTTTGATTGGTAAAATACCTAATTAGACTAAAGTCTCGTAAAAGGGTAGTTACATTTTTGATTGGACTATTGCACTCTGCATTTAGTACGTACACTTTTATCACCACAAATACGTCTGTTACCTCTACGTACAGGTAGACTTAGAACAATCCAAGTAAGCGCTGCAGGTTACTGATGATTAAACAAATTAAACCATAGTTATTTGTAAATTGGATTTACAGATAAATTTACAGATGAGACTTGATCCATGAAGTGTGTCTCCACGTCGAGCAACCAAGTCAAGGTAGGGACAATCTGCAAATGTAGTTTTTGAAAAAATAGTAATTAGCTTTTCGTTATGATTACATTTTTCTCTTTCGAGACATGTAATAATTGAGTCTACATCCATTGAAATATTTCATTTATTCTATATCCACATGTTTTATAGGCGCTATTTTACACTGGTTACCACATAAACAATGAATTTTCATTATAGATGTTTTTGCTTCCAGCCGACCGAAAATGTTTTGTAGTAGAACTCAACAGTAATAGTATGTTTTTTTAACATTTCTCTGTATTTTGTGTAAGTATTTAATTTTTGTGTTTTGACAAAGTAGCGGATTGCCTCGACAGTGGCCATTACTTCTCTGCTGATAGATCGATTGGGATCGTCGACTTAACCAACATTTGTTTGCCGGATCTGATGCCAAGATTTAACCACACTGCCGTTATCAATCGACAGGCCTCTGAACATCATATATTGCATGCATACCTTTTAATACAGTTCCAAACGACCCGGTTTCACTCCCATATGTGAGCAAGAGGTATAATGACCGGTTGCCTCGGGTAGGGGAAGACCAACGGAGGACGCGGAAGATAGTGCGTTTGAAAGGTGTCCCATGGGCCGAAATCCCAACTCCAGGGTCCTTCTAAGTCTAAGTAAGCCATGTTGACATGGAGCAGACACGTGATCAGCAACAACACGAACCAGACGGACGACATCATTTCGTGTGCTCTCTGTTGTGAAGAAAGTGTAAGTTGAACACCGCATTAATATAGACACTTTGGTACCAATACTTAAAGGCTGTGTACCTGTAAATCCTGCATTGCCCTACCTCTACCGTTTCTTAACCGTCCCATCTTACGTAAGTTTTCAAATATAAACTATGAATATCGTGTCATTAATTATTCTCCTGCTTGGCACAACGCTACCGATACCTAGATGGAGCAGGATTGTGCATAGAAAACGATTCCAATTGTATTTATGGAGAGTTGCATAATGAGAGCTAGGGCAGTGACAAAAAAAAAAGAATTAATAAAAATATGGGACACTATTGAGCACCAGCAAAAATTAAAGCCAAGTCAACAGGACTGGGGTTCCCATAGGAATGCCTATAGTATGTTCCCGTAGGAATGCCTACAGTTCGTTCCCGGAGGAAAGCCTACACTTTTTTCCCGTAGCAATGCCTACGATATGTTCCCTTTGGAATACCTACAGTATGTACCCGTAGGAATGCCTACAGTTTGTTTCCGTAAGAATACTTATAAACTGTTCCCGTAGGATACTTATAGTCTGTTCCCGTAGGAAAGCTACTGTCTGTTCCCGTAGGAATGCCAACGGTCTGTTCCTCTAGGAATGCCTACACTTTGTTCCCGTAGGAAGTAAGAATGCCTACTGTCTGTTCCCGTAGGAAAGCCTGCAATTTGTTCCCGTAGGTATACCTACAGTGTGTTCCCGTAGGAATACCCTCGGTCTGTTCCCAAAGGAATGCATACACTTTGCTCCTGTAGGAAATCATACGGTATTTTCCAGTAGGAATGCCTACAGTGTGTTCCCATAACTCTAACGTACAAACACAACATCAACTTTAAAGGACAAATACATCAACAATTTTAACGGACAAATAAACCGGCAACTTTTAAAGACAAACACACCATCAACTTTAATGGACGAACACATAAATTTTAACGGACAAAAACATCAGCAACTTTAACGGACAAACGCATCAGCTACTTAAACGGACAAACACAGCATAAACTATTATGGACAAACACACCAGCAACTTTAACGGACAAACATACCATCAATTTTAACGGACAAACACACCATCAACTTTAACAGACCAACATGCTATCAACATAAAAGGACAAACACAACATCAACTATTACGGACAAACACAACATTAAATTTATTGGACTAACGAACCATCAACTATTACGGACAAACCCACCATCAATAACCGGACAAACACAAACCATCAACTTTAACGGACAAACATACCATCAACTTTAACGTACAAACATACAAGCAACTTTTAACGGACAAACACAACATCAACTATAACGTACAAACACAACATCAACTATAACGTACAAACACAACAACAACTATAACGGACAAACACAACATCAACTATAACGTACAAACACAACAACAACTATAACGGACAAACACAACATCAACTATAACAGACAAACACAACAACAACTATTACGGACAAACACAAT